TTGTATAGGGTTTCTAAGGAGCAGATGGTGAGTTTGAACCATTGACATTGGTGTTCCAACTGACCTTGAGGTCCAGTACTTATCCTATAGCACTACACACGAGAATTTGATTATAATTATAACCACACATTAAACAAGGACATAATTGCATATAGTTCACTAAGAATTTATTTGAAACCTCATTTCAACAATCAAATGAATTTATTTTGTCATTATTAAGTGCAAGTCAGTATAGCATTAAGGCAAAACAAACAAACAAACAAAGTCAACAAATTAGCCTAGTTTCAATTCTTCCTTTATGTTACTAATTGTATTTTAAGAGTATGCTAAATTTTATTGCACAACAAATAATGGAACAATAAAAGTGTGGTGCTTCAGGTTAATGTGCTGAACTGCAATGTTGGTTTGAACCCTAAGGTCTGTATTTCCAGCTCACCAGACCCTCCCCAGAAACTGTATACAGTGTCGCTATATGTTGGAACCAACTCGATGGCATTTAACAATATATATGTTATTTATCGGTCCAGTTGTATTTTTGTTGTTTTTTTTTTTTACATTGGGTACAACCCATACAGAAGTCTGGGATCTTTGATCTTCATTATTAAATATTTTAAATCCTCTTCAAGTTCAGCAAGCAAAGTTATATCATATGCATATCACAGGTTATTAATGAATCTTCCTCCAATCCTGATGCCTCGTTTTTCTTCACATAATACATCTTTTTGGATTAACTTTTTGAATATTTATCCTTAATTATTACTTCAATACAGATTGAAAATGTTTGGTGAAATAATACAACCCTGGTACACACCTTTATTAATCTTAAATCATTCAGTGTTTCCTTATGTTCAAACAACTGCCTTTTGGTCTATACACGGGATCCTCATGAGCATAATTAAGTGTTCTGAAGTATTCAGTCTTGACACTGTTGTCCATTGCCTATCATGATCCACACAAATGAAAGCCTTTGCCAAGTCAATAAAGCATAAGTAAGCATCTTTCTGCTATTCGGTGCTTTCAGTCAAGATCCATCTGATATCAGCAGTCATATCCCTCAATCCACTGGACAAATAAATATGATCAAGATACATGGTGAAAAGATTGAAGTTGTCAAAGACCTTATTTTGCTCAGATCCGCTGTCAGATAAGTAGAAGCAGCTGTCAAGAAATCAAATGATATATTATATTAGGCAAATCTATTATACAAGACTTCTTTAAAGTGTTCAAGAGGAAAGAATTCACTTTGAGGACTAAAGTGGACCTGATCCAAGTCATGGTATTTTCAATAATCTCATATGCATGTGAAAGTTGCATAATGAATGAAGAAGACCTTATAAGAATTGATACATTTGATTTATGTTGTTGGAGGAGCATATCACAAGTATCATGGACCACCAGCACAACAACAAAATCTGTGTTGTACAGCCACAATTCTTGGAAGCCAGGATGGCCAGACTTAGTGTACCATACTTCAGACATATTATCAGGAAGAATCAATCCCTGGGGAAGGACATTATGTTTGATAAAGTGGAGGGTCTGCAGAAAGAGGCAGAGCCCCCCACAAAATGGATTAGCACAGTGGCAGTGGCAATGGCTTAAGTGTAGCAACAATTGTGAGGTTGGTGCAGTACTGGGCAGTGTTCAGTTTTGTTTAGCATAAGGTCATTATGAGTCAGTACTGACTCAATGGCACCTAATAGCAACAGCATGTATATATATATATACATATATATTGTCTTGTGCTTTGGGATAATGCACTGAACTGAAAGATGAAAGGTAGGCTTAAACTACAAGTTTTTGTTGTTGTTGTCAGGTGCCATCGAGTCAGAACCGACTCATAGCGACCCCATGCACAGCAGAACGAAACAATGTCCGATCCTGGGC